CCCCCCAGCGTGGGGTCCCACAGTGTGTAAAATGCTAAAAACCCCTAAAAAGCAGATCCCATTTCTCTAACAGCCCCTGTTTCACAGACATCACTTTTAGGCAGTTTTTGTAACAACAGGGGGCAAACCAACGGGACGACTGAAAACCGGCACCGATTCAAACTTGATTTTCCTCTTTGGTGCCCATTTCAAAATCAACAGCATGAGACAAACACCAGTGCTGATGAGAAAGGCAACAACTACCACACAGCCACTCAGCCACTCTCCAGAGGGTTTGTTTTAAACCAGCATTCCTGCAGGTAGCACCGTCTCTGGGAATTTGCAGGTTAAACAGCAAATCCCGCTGAGGAGTTTAAGGCCAAATTGAGTCAAGTTATCACAGCAGGGAAAGCATATTTAATCTGTGAGCGTTAGGGATGGCTCCACGGGAGAAGATGGGGGTCCATCTGCAGGGAGAGCACAGCAGAGGCTTGGCCCCATCCTCAGGATGCATTAACTGCCACCAGAGGAGGTGGGGAGGGAGCAGACACAGTCTGGAGATCCCCAGTGTGGGGGGCACTGGGGTGTTCTGGTTGACTCTGCAGTGCCAAGAGACATGTCAAGATGTTGGTTTCAAAGCTTTGGCAGTAAAAAACAAACTGCAGCCTCAGCAAGACAAAATAAATTCAAAGTTCTGTCTAATTGGAGAAGTTATCCTATAGGTACTCATAAATCAGCTGGAAGGGAAGACAGAAATTCTCTTTTTTGGGAGATTCCTGACTTGCTCATCCTGTCATGATCATAAAAGGTCTGCATATCACTTAACAAAGAATTACAAAGAGAAGGGAAAGCCTTACTCTGTCCCATTTCCTCTGAACCCACTTCCACCAGTGCCGGGTTGGAATATCCAGCCCCTTTCTGCCTGACAAACCTTTGGCTGAACAAGAAGAAAGCCAAACCCTGTAGCCAAGAGTCAGAACTGCTGTGGCAGATGACACTCTCCATGGTAACCCACAGGGCAAAGGATCTGCAAAGACACTTTTGGAGAGAAGATACCAGGCTCACCTTCCCCAAAAAAGGCCTCTGGATATCTCCCACACTCAAGGGTCAATAGAGGGGGGAGGAAGGTGTCTGAAAACCTTTGGGTCATTCCCTGCACAGGGGTGGGGTACAAGCACACTTTGGATGACCAGCAGTAGCTTCTGGCTGGTAAGTCTAGCAGTAGCAGAGGCCACCAAAATAAGTGAAAATAAATCTTAACAAGTAGGCCTTCAAATAAACACCCCTGAAAAGGGTCTACAAGTGTTATGCAGAACAGGCTGATGAGCTTCTCGGAGGGTGGGCATTAATGAAGCCTTTCCTAGGACTTTACTTGGTGATTTTCTGGCTAGGGAGATGTGGGTATAAATCACAGAATCATCAAGGTTGGAAAAGACCTCCAAGATCATCAAGTCCAACCTCTGACCAAACACCACCAGGTGCACTAACCCACATCACAGGGCACCACATCCACTCATTGTTCGAACACTTCCAGGGATGGTGACTCCACCACTTCCCAGGGCAGCCTGTTCCAGTGCTTAATCACCTTTTCAGCGAAGAAATTTTTTCCTGATGTCCAACCTGAAGCACCTCTGGCACAACCTGAGGCTGTTTCCCCTTGTCCTGTCGCTCTGAGGAGAGACCAACCCCTACCTCACCACAACCTCCTTCCAGGGAGCTGTAGAGAGCAAACAAAGAGCTTTCAGCCTCTGTGTGTGCTGATGTTCCCCTCTGCACGTTATTTCAGAGTCAGGAGAAACAATTTGGCAAGGACACCCTCCAACAGCTCACCCTGCCCGTCCTGAGCCCTCCTGCCCCCAGCCCAGCCCTGCCAAGGGGAGCGGGAGCTGAGCAGGCAGAACAACCCACAAACTCAGCACTTTCCCAGGGGTTTGGGCCAACTCTGGTGCCACTAAAAATCAATATGAGTTTTATCTTCATCCTAAACGGAAGCAGGACCCAGGCCATGGTAAACAACTTTAATCATATGTCTGAAGGGGTGGGTGCATCTCCGAAGTGCCGCGTCAGAGCCGCGCTCCTTCCCAGCCATAACTCCTTATTGATTCCAGTGTTATTTCCAAACAGAAACTACAGCACAGTGAATAAAATTGTCAAGCTAAGCCCCAACCCCTAAAATAAAAAGCACATAATTTAATCTTGTTCAGCTGTGTTTTCATATATCATTTTGGAGAAGCCATTATTAGATCCATACTCAAGAGTTTAAAGCTTTATTTTCTGAAAGCCTGTGTTGCTGTAAGCACAGGGCTTAGGGTATCATTAATCCATGTTCTGTTACTGTGGCACAGCAGATTCCTCACTTTTGAAAATATGTTCCATTTCAGAGACAAGCAGCACTGGAAAAAAAAAAAAGAGGGGAGAGAAAAAACAGAGAAGAAAAAAGTGGGGGGAAAAGAGGGGGGGGAAAAAAGGGAGCAGGAAAAAAGGGGGGAGGAAAAAAGGGGGAAAGAAAAAAGGGGGAAAGAAAAAAGGGGGAAAGAAAAAAGGGGGAAAGAAAAAAGGGGGAAAGAAAAAGGGGAGAAGGGAAAAGGGGGAGAAGGAAAAAGAAGATAAAAGGACAAATTTGAAATGTAAATGACACATCACAAAGCAAGTATTGGGGGAAAATATTAGGACTTTTATCATAATGAGTTTGTAACCTAAATACATATTTCAAGGATTAAATTGCTGAACCTCCCTGACCTCCACAGGAGGCTGAATGGCTCAACAGTCGTTTAATCTGCACTGAAAAGGCTACAGAAGAATAACACAGCCCTTGAAGAAGCACCATATATCACTGATGCCCCAAGATTCACAATTTAACTCTTAAGAGGAGGGGAAAAAACCCAAGCTCAACCTTCCAGCCATCAGTCTCAACAGACCCAACATTAATTTTCCTCAGAAATGAAAAGGAGATAAAACAAAACCACACAGTAGGATGGAAAATAAGGGATTGTTCAGACGAAGGGTGAAGCTTCAGATGCCCAATTTTATTTTTGCTTAGAGGCAGAGCTTTTGTAATAAACTTAAACCACTCTGTATTTCATAACCCAGCTACTTCTAGTTACAATCCCTTTGACTAAAGAAGACAAAAAGACTTACTGTTTTAGCAAAGCACAGAGCCCACCTTGAGAGAACCCTAATTTTTATTTCTTTAATCCGAATATTTCTAATCTGATGACACTGTTTTATCAACCTGAAGTAAAATTTAGGGATCAAAAATGTATCCATTTATCCATTAGTTTAACTGAAAAAGAACAAGTTTTTCAGTTCAGTCTTCTTAACTAGGAGTCAGTCAAACCAGATATGTGAGAAGAGGATGTGTTTCCACTCAACTGGTCTGTGGTTACTGCACTTGTCAGCAACAGGAATCATGGAATCACGGGAATCATGGAATCACAGAACGGTCCGGGATGGAAGGGGCCTTAAAGCTCACCCAGTGCCACCCCCTGCCATGGGCAGGGACACCTTCCACTAGCCCAGGTTGCTCCAAGCCCTGTCCAACCTGGCCTTGGGCACTTCCAGGATCCAGGGGCAGCCACAGTTTCTCTGGGCAACCTGTGCCAGGGCCTCACCACCCTCCGTGGGACTGGGAGAATCCTCCCTTCTAGTCCCATATCCCGAATTTGGAAGCCCAGGACCTGCCTTTGAGGAGCTGCAAGCTGGGACCCAGCTTGTCCTTCAGTGGTTGAATCCAGCAAACATCTGACCCTGCCAGGGGGTGTTGAAGGGCTTTGCCCTGAGGGTGCTGCTCCCCAGGCTCCCCTGGGAGCTGGTGATGCCCAGGGCTCCTAAGGCAGAGCCTCTGTGGGACACGTGTGTCCAGAGCAGCAGCACAATGTGGGGTTTATAAGCAATCACCTTGACATGCTGAAATGTGGAGGGATGAGAAGGGGCCTGAGGAAGCTGTTTATTACCCATCCATGGTGAAGAGGCACCTTCAGTCATGGAAAGACTCGAGCAGGTCATAAGCAAGAGGATAATATATTGTAAACTACACAGGGAGACAGAGGACTTGACTTTCCCCTCTGTATTATTTCTCATTACAAATCATCTCTCTACAGAGTGTGAACCTGGGGTTTATTGGCATTTTTATCTTCTCATTTTTGTAGCTGGAGCACATCAACTTCTCTTACCAGTCAGTCAAAAGCACCTTTCATTAAAGCTCTGCTGAAAGCTCTCCATTACTGAGAGCTTTGTGTCTGGGAAGGGTCTGCCTTGAACTCCTGCACGCTCCTCCAAGGATATTCCAGAGCAGCTCCTGCTGTAATTACTGCTCTGCTGTGTACACCCCTCCCAGGACAACAGCACAGAGAAATCAGAGATGACAGATAAATAAGTCCCTGTATTTACTCTCTGCCTTCACCTTCACAACTACATGAGAAAAAAGATGACTCGTGGTCCTGCGTCGTTGTTTGCCCACTCTCACAGGCTTTATCCTCAAAATGGCTTTACATAAGTTCATATAAAGCTCATTCACAGCAAGATCTGTGCCTTTTCTCATCCTTAGCTTTCAACAGGGAGCTGTAACTCTGATTTAACCCAAAATAAATACAAAGCCCATTTTCCCTTTTACACCCAGAGTTACAAAATATCCCCCATGTCTGAGAGCACTTGTACCACAGAAACACAGGACTTAGGACACCTGTCACTGTGACTTTACTCCTTATGGAGAGCATACTCCTGTTAATATTTTGAAGCTTTAATTCTCCAAGGAGAATAAAAACCCCCTGGATGAGATCCCATTTACCAGATCCTTTCCCAGATGGCCCCTTCCTCAAAAAATATTTTACTGTATACTACACATAGTTTTAGCTAAATAATGATAAATCAAGACATGCCTTCCTTATTCACATTTCCCCTCTTTCTCTGCTCCATGAACAGCTCCGAGGACACTCCATAACCAGTTAGGAAAGGCTGGAAAGGAGACACATATCCCAGTTTTCCCTGCATGCTGAGGGAACAGAGGCTGCCTTCTTACTTACAGGCAAACTGAAGCTTTGCTTCTCTGCTGACAATGGTTCCAAACGGGTTTGTTGCTACACACTGGTACGTTCCAGTATCCTGGGTTTTATTGGGATTATTGATCAGCAGGTTGCCTTTCACCAGCCTGTAGTGGAAATCCATCCCCACGTCAATGCTGCTCCCATTTAACTTCCACCTAGAGCACAAAATGCCAAAGTTACATTCTGCTGATATTAATGGAGGCTCTTGGGTATTTCAAACTACAGCATGAAGTAAATAAAGAGAGATTCAGAACATCTTTGACTACTTATTAAAGACAAAAAAAAAGGCACAAAAATGCAAATTTCCTGCACAGTATTGAAATATTCCAGTATTTAACTGAAAGAGCAATATCCTTGACATATATTTCAGTCTCTGAAATGATTAATGCTTCTGTAGTTGCTCGTGCTGCTGCTCTTTGGAATTAATCATTTTGCAAGGGGAAGTCCCTGGAACAGGATCTCTAAACCACTCAAGTCCACCGAGGGTTTTTTTTTTCCCCCTCTCCCGACTTGCTGGCTGTTTATTTTTACATTTAAATTTCAATTTAAATTCACTCACAGGGGCTGTTGTCACAAACTGGGGCACTGAGCCATTCCAGCACCACGCTGCCCCAGTTAGAGCTGCCTCAGCCCCACCAGCCCTCGATGGAGGTGCTGCCCCTCCACCACCAGAATGGGCAGAGAAACTATTTGAATGCATTTGCACCAGTGAATCAACAGAGTTCATGGCATTAAACAGCTGGTTGTGTCAGAAAAGAGCCCAGTGGCTGAGCCCTGGTGGCTCTAAGTGGTTTCAGAGTGGCATTTACTTGGGTGAGCAAAATGAGAGAGGCACTAAAGGAGAGAAAGCAGCAGCCTCAGGGATCTCCAGCAGCAGCAGCAGCACCAGAGCAGGGCAGGATCTTCCTCCAAGGATCCCAGAGCAGTTACCAAAGCTGAAAAGAATTGAGAGCTTTGCCAGTGTTTAGGCAAAAGGATGGTTAACCCGAGAGCCAAGGCTGTTTATTGTCCCTTCATAACCTTGTTGAGCTCTTGTCCAAACTTTGCAATTGAGCTGCAGTGTGTGGTGATCTCCTGATGTGCATTTCCTCTGTTCTAATGCTCCTGAACCGTGGAATATCCTGAGTTGGAAGGGACCCACAAGGACCATCAAAACCTGGCCCTGCACAGGACACCCCAACAATGCCACCACGTGCCTGAGAGCATTTCCAGGCTCCAGGGGCATCACTGAGTGATCCAGGCAGGAGAAAGGCCCTTGAGTGATGATGCTGCTGCAGTGCAGGGGTAGTGCCAAAGAACAGTTAAATTCAGTTAATGCTAAAAAACAGTTAAATTCAACAAACCCAATGGTTGGTCTGGGATTTCCTTTCACTTCACAGCTCAGCTCCACTTCCTTTTCCTCTGAATCCAAAGGGAAGATCAGGCTGTTGGGTTCCTGAAGGAAAACTGGCCCGTGCAGTGTGTTGTCATCTGCATGAAACAGGGAAAGTGTGACAGGTAATTGATGGAATCTCCATGTTCCCACTCTTAAAACATGAAATAGTGTCTTGGCAGCAAGAGGCCGTGTATCATTCACCTTGGAAAAGATCTGATGACACTTTATTTTGTTTATAACACCAGATTTTTTTTTCCCCAGAGCCACTGAATCTCACACGGAGTCAACATTCATGCAAATGTCTGTGCATTAAACAGAGAGGAGACTGAAACTTCACCCAAAGTTCAAATGAATGGGAAGAGGCATGATCTTGTTGTCACAGCAAAGCTCAATTCAAGTCAGAATGCTTAATTCACCTTGAAAAATGGAAACATTTTCCTGGTGAACTAAAAGGCCACATTATCAAATACAGTCACACAGTAAGGTGAGTTGGAGGGGCCTCAGCAGGTCCAGCCCCCAGGGAGTCCCCTCGCTGGTTCTGCCACCCCTGATTGAAACCTTTTTGCAGTCACAGGTATAACTGAGCCCCAGCCCCTCAGAGGGGATCCTTTTACACCCTCTGCCCTCTCTGTGCTGGGACTCCTCAGGAATTCCCTGGCTCCAGCCCAGCACCCCCCGGCAATGAGGGTCCCAAGTGTTTGGTGTGACCTGTGCTGCCAAGGACATCACATGCCTGTGCACTTTGGAGTATTAAAAACTCACACTAAATGTAGGTAGAAGAGTGAAAATATTTTGGCAGAACAACCTGACACGACCTTCAAAGAGTTCAGGAGTCATTTCACAGCAATGCAACAGTCTGAGGTTGGGGATTACTCACAGGAGCCTCCCTCGTGCTGACTTTAGTTCTTTATTTTAAAAACACATTTTGATCTTTTGAGTTGTTAACTCCTTCCTCTCTCCTCAACCACTCTCCATTTTCACCTTAACAATTTATCCTTTCTCAAACTGGGAGTTAAGGGTGAGTGCTGCTCACAGGAGCATCCCCAAAGTGCAGCTCTGCAGCGAGCACCGAATTTCACAAAATACGCCAATATTGCCCAAAATGCCCACAAAAAGCTACAACATAAATTCACTGCTCTCCATCCTGTTTGTATTAGACAGTTTTATCTTCACAGTAGCTGTTCAGAACATAAAAGAAACCAACTTTTCTTCCCTGAAAAAAAAAAAAAATCATCCATCCTGATTTCACCGAGACTTTTCTGCTCATCAGTGGCGATGTCCGGCTGCCTCCTCGAAATATAGTGCAAGTAAGGACACAGTAAAACTCCTCACAGCCAGAAAGTCTTTTAGTTGAATGAAAGGAACCTTGACTTAACATTTTTGGAACATTTTCCAATCTGTTTCTGCCCTATCTTTACAGCAGAGAAAGGGCAATTGTGTGGGCCACTGGGTGCCTGCAGGTCCCTCGCTGCCCAGGGCAGGACTTGAAGGGATGTGAGCACGGATTTCCCTTTAGTCAGGCTGCCAGAAGTCCATCTTGATGGACACACGGGAAATTTGGGGGTATGGGAGGTCAGAGGAAAAGGAATAAATAAAATATAAGGATGGTGGGCTGCACAACAAATAAGAAAGAAAAAGGAATGAATAGAAGACAACGGATCTTCCTGATGGGAGGAGGGTGAGAACGAATGTGAACAGCCCTCACATCCCCCAGCACTGGGAAATCAGCTGGATTTACCCGGGACAGAACAACAGCTCTTTACTCCAGGGAGCAAATTCTGTCTCTCCACAGAAGCATTTCAGAGAGACTCTGCCAGGAAGATTATAAAGGAGCAGCCTCTCCCCCACGTCTCCTCCCTCAGGCCCCACCACAAAAGAGAGCACACCAAGCATCCAGTCACATCACTTGTATTTATCTTTATTCTTAATTATATGTTAATGATATCTGACTGAAACTCATCTATTATTCAAAACACATTTCACATCCTCTCTAGCTTTAAATTATACCTGTGTGCAACTTGCTGTTGCTAGTGGAAAAGGATAATAATAACCACAGAGCAAACAGGGCTAGATTGTGGTATCTGGACTTGTTTCTGAGATCCAGGGTTGCTTCACTCCCTAAACAGTCTCATTCACCCTAAGAAAAAGATATTAAATCTGGCTTATAAAGATTATAGCTCTGGGTACTCTATTAGAATTTTGAAAACAGAGACCAAAGGCAGAGAACTATGAAGGTAGAAATAGTCACAAATAGGTGAAAACACTGAATAACTTAATTTGTCTACTAAATCACTCAGTTTGCTAAAACAGAAACTCATAAAAAAACGAAATGAAACCACCTCCACATATTCCACCTGCTGTTGACACTGGTTAATATTCAGCTTTTATATGGCAAAAAAAATGCTTTCCCTTCCTTTTAGCCAGCAAGAAGCAAAGCCCTGGTGGGACTTTCAAGCAAACAGTGTTGGGTGAGGCAGGAGAACCTCTGAAAGCAGCTGCCAGCACATCAGGGGAACAGGAGAGGAGGAAAAACCTTGCAACACTGGGTAGATAAAATGATTTTTGAGTGCCTTTCTTCTTTCTCGTATTGCTGCCTGTGTATAACCAAGATAAGCAAGTCCAAACTATTTAATCTTCAGCCTGTAGAGTCCCTTTGCTACAGTTTAATGTGTGATTGAAATCACTGCAGCCCAGATCCTACCACTGTGTGATAAGAGTTGAGCCACAGAACCTTACAGGAGAGGAGGATTTGGTTCACAGATCACTAAAGAGCCACTAATAAGTAAAACAAACTGCCATCTAGATTCTCACAGACAGAAAACTAGAAGTGCCTGTACCATAAATAGCCCATTTTTGACTAAGTTATGTTGCTCAGATGCTCAGTGTCAGCCCAGGCAAAGGCATTTGCTCTCTTGAAGCGTCTGGTGTTGTGGGAGCAAAGTTTTGCTATTTGGATAGCTCTGAAATGTGAATTTTACACTTTTTTTTTCTCTTTTCTTTTAAATTAAAATTGGTAACTTTATTTCTATGCAATAATGTCCAGGACTTGCAGTCAAAGAGAGATGATATCACATTTTTGGCTTACCACTGAAGGACCCCACGAGTGGTTTAATCTACAGAAGTCCAGCAATGTCAGGAAGAGGCTGTTCCCTGAACTCAGAGGGCTTTTGGCTTTTCCCTTGCTCTTCTCATCAGGTTGTGTTTAATAGGCTCTCTTTTGGTCCTTTTATCAAACAGAGCAAGTTACCTCGGAATGAACATGAAACACACTCAGCTTAAGACAACCTACACACCAAAAAGCATTTTCTCCTCCACTTTAGATAAAACAAATGTGCTCCTGCTCTGGGTGTGCCTCCTTTGAGAGAAGTGTATTTCTTTCAGTAAGATGCAGGATCTAGGAAATGTCAGTTGACTTTATTATAAAAGAAACATTTTAAACACAGAAGGAGGTGTGTGCCCATATGGTGTCGGACAGAACGTGATAGATCATTTAGAAGAACATTCTGCTATCCAAGCTTCTGCTAGATATATAATTTTCCCCCTAGTGAATCACAAAATCTATTAAAAAATGTCAGATTAATTTAAATGCATTCCAAATGAAGAGTGTCCCTCCAGTACCCCAAACCTGAGAGCCAGCACATCCAGTTGGATGCTAAATGCTTGTCATCTTCCTGTGCTTTTGAGGAATTGAAACGTGAAGAATGTCAGCTGAGGTTAATTCACATGAAAGAGGTGAAACCATTCCTGTTCTCTCTGAACATTAAGCCTGGTGACAGATCCTGTTACCTAAATAGAACTGCTTTAATTTTCATTGAAAGTTATGGCCAATTTGAGAGGAAGTTTAATTGAATATTCCACACCGTAGGGAAAGATAATAACTAAACTGAAGAGAGAATTCTTGGAGTATATCCAGTGGAAATGAGAAAAATCCTTTCCTTGTTTGCTGCCGAGGGAATTGCTCTCTGCTGTGTGTGCTGCTGTGTTTTCATACAGTGCTACAAGTCGGTATTTCTTCAAGACAAAACTGCACCTTGGGAAGAGCAACTCTTCAGAAGAGTGGGAAGTGGGATGGATAGGACAGCTCAAGGGCACTGCTGATTAACACAACAGCCTGCTCTTCAAGGTTAGCAGCTGCATTACATCCTCCTGAGCAGGGAAAGACTAAATTGGATGCTCACTCCCTATTTTTTGCCCATCACTTCTATAACATCACCTGCACACCCAAATGGTGCTAATGGCTTTGAAATTAAGAGACAGAAAGGTTGGCACCACATAGTCCTACTGTAAATAATTCCACAGACTTCTCAGTGAACAAGACCCGATAAAGGTGCTTCCCACTCAAAGAAAAAGAATTGTATTACAGACAAAAAAAAAAGGAGATTTAAAAAGTCCTGTATTTTGAAGGGAAGGGTCTCGTAGCTCCTGTATCTTAGGGGACCAGCCACCAGCCTTCCTCCCCCAGTCACTCCTCCCCACCACTGCACCAGGGCTGGCCCATGTGCTTAGAAAAGAAAACCTCTCAAGATCAATAAAGAGAACTAAACAACAACTATGATCAGATACTTTCATCAGGAGCAAAACTGAAACAAATGATGAGGCTCTTTCCCTCCTCCTCCTCCTCCTCCTCCTCACTCCACCACTGTATAAGATGCACTGTCTGCTATTCCACTGCAATAATCTGAACCCTGGCAGCAAAAACACCCTCCCAGAGCTCTTGGCTGAGATACTCCCTGAGCCTTGCTACTGGGTTGAGAAGCTGGATGGGGAGGAGAGCCACCACCTCTCTCCTGACCCCATGATGCAAGACTGGGCTTCTTTTGCAGCACCTGCAGGTCTCCAACATGGACCATGAGCCAGACAGCTCCTGCTGCTGTTATCTCACTCCTCCTGCTATGATCTCTCTTTTCTGACATCCTTTCATGTCCCAGCTCGCTGCTGTACCAAGTACAAGTGCAGCTGGAGTGGAAAGCCAGGCCTGGCAGGTGACAGCTGATAGGCAACAGTCTGATCCCCAAGTTCAAAAGCAGTGTCAGATATTCCTCAGAGACCGTAAGGCAGCCACAAAAATCCAGGAGACAGGAAGAAATAAATCTTCCCTCTCGTAAATGCAGGTGTGGAAGGGCTCCAGCATTTGAAATGGAGACAGTGCTCTGACAACTCTATTTACGGGTGACCCGAGGATGTGGCACCGTCGGAATTAAAGGCAGGGTTAAGCACATCCACCCCACCACAGTGTGTTCTGACCTCTGAGGGAAGCCCAGGGTTCACTGGTGAGCCCTGCAGCTGCCTCTGCCCATGTTCTGCCACACCAGAGTGAACAGCCAAGTGCCAAGGGCAGGTCAGGCTCCAGCTTGGCTTGCTCAGCTGTGAAGCCTCTCACTCACCCTCCCTGTCTGTCCCGCAGCCACGGCGCAACTTCCCCTATTGAAATGCCACACAATTAATTAGAGCAAATGTCATCAAGTTTGCAGTTCTCGAATAAAATGCTGCTACCTGATCTGTCCATGGCAAAGTGAACTTTCCCTGTGCCTCGTCTGCTGGGCCCAGACAGCCGGGGGGAGGCAATTCCCAGCCAGCGGAACGAGAGACTTGTCCTGCGACAAAACCCTCATTTAACAGAGTGTAATTTGTGTTCCCTTGGTAAGTCAACGGCACGATTATCATCACAGATGTTCTCTTCAGCACACAACAAAAACACATTTCTCTGTTGCTGCAGGAAATCACAAGTCTCTTCACCAAGCAGCCTTTTCTCCCTGAGTCATCACAGCCGCCGGCAGGAAAATAAACAGGGAAAAACTCACACTGCTCCAACTAAGGACGACATCAGCCCACGACAGAGCCAGGAGCAGACAACAGGAATAATAATATTAATACAATACTAATGGTACTACCACTCCTGCTACTAATAAAAAGCATTGGGGCATCTGCAGGTCTGCTGAAACACCAGTTAGAAAGGATCACAAAGAACCAGTCACGAGTTCATTAACGCTCAGGTTATTTGTTCATCTCCTGTGTTGAGATACTAGAAATAATCATATTTTTGAAAGATACTTTTAATACATAAATAATAATCAGGCTGGTTCTCATGCCCTGTAAGTTAAGCTTTAGCCTCAAGAAAATCATTCAGCAGTTACATACCCAACCCTGGAAACACAGGATTATGAGAGGAAATTAAAGCTGTCCTTACCCAGCACAATGCATCTATTGGTACCATTTCTCTTCTTGAAGTACAAAGACACACATCCTGGTTTTGGGGTGAATAATATTGTTTCACCAGGTTTCTCAAAAGCTGCTTTGTAACTCACATGTTCTCAATGTGTTCAGACATATTCTGGTCCAGAGAATAAGAACACTAGGCCTGCATGACCTAAAAACTTAAAAACTGTTCCTCCAGACTGAACTATGGGATGCAGAAAGCTTAAATGATCTTTGCTGTTGTTGTGAACATGCAGATGTCGTGGACTGGAGCTTGCCCAGAAATCCAGGATGCCACCAGCATCCCGCTGAACTGAGCCCAGACCTAAATCCATGCCTTGGCTCTTCAGCTGCTGGATACATTTTCCTCAGTTATTTTCTTCACTCCTCTGGGACCATCTCTGTAACACCTCCTGGTGTTGCATCATCACCCAACTGGTCAGATCTGCTGGCTGTAAGAGAAAAATTGTCCCTCTCTCCCATCAGCTCATGTTTTTTTGTTTCACCAGTGCACGTGGAGAAAAAGAGGCCTGAACAGCAGGGCTGTTCCAGCTCCTCTGTGCTGGGAAGGGAAGCGACAGGTACATGGGACATCACCAGCAAAGGCTGAGCTCATTCACATGCAACACCTTGTGATGCACTTCAGCTGCAGGTGAACATCCTGACAATGACATTTGCCGAGGCAAACGTTGTTCTGCCACTCTGCCTGTCAGTCCTGAATATCTAAGAATGGAATTCACATCATCTCCGGTGACTGGAGCATGTAGAGCCTTAGATGAAATACTGGTGTTTAATCTGTTCCATGATTCATGTATTTTTTAATTCTTTCAACTCAGGACATGACATTCTCTCAAACGAGGAGGTCAGTCAATGACAGAAATTGGTCCCTCAGGGAGACACAACTGCAGCTTGTGGTGTGCTCCATCCCCAGCAGCAACCTTAACCACTAGTAGCAGCTCTGAGGCATCGTGCCCAGATCTGTTACCCACATCCATCACCAGGAATGCAGGTGGCCTGTCCCAGTCAAATCCCACTCCTGATGAACTGGGGCCTCAGGTTCTCACAGTCACATGCTGATGGCAGCAATGGCTTCCAGAGCAGTTTGTAACCTCCCAGGAAAGCACAGGCAAAGTCCAGCCATGAGAGCTGTTCCCAGGGGCTGCAAATTCTGACTGGACCTTTATCTCAGTGCTGGAAATTGATACTGGGCTGTTTTGGTTCCATCCTGTTGAAAACGAGTCCTGGATTCAACAGGCAAAGATTGTGGTTCAGGCTGAAAATATCTTTTGCCTCATAAGAGACCTGAATCCATGAAATTCCTTCAGAAAGCTGTCGCCAGCACTCCAGACTATGGAAACCTTTCTATTAACCTTGTTGGCTTGACACTCCCTTCACCTCTGACCAAGCACAGCTCATCACTGTGCACACAGAGTTGCCTTCACCCATTCTCCAACCTCCCCTCAGGTCTCACAGTCCCTCCAGCTCTGGGTGTTCTTGCACAGAGCTCCTTGTGAATGAGGTATTATAAATGTTTCAAAGGCCTGTACTAATTACCTATTGATTTATTAGTAAAATATAAGGTGCTGATATAACTGCTGTCTTTCAAGAACACATATCACTATTGTAAAACTTTCAGCTGTCTGGAGTATGACAGGAACTATAAAGTGGATATATAAAAAGGCAGAAGTAGTAGGTCCGTGTGCATACTTTAAAGCCACATTTTTCCACAATACCTCCCTGAACTTCAATTGATTTTAATCCTTCATGCAATAAGGAAGGTGTGTAAAAGCCAGGTTAACAAATGCCATCCTCCCCACCCCACCAGCAGACAGGAAAAAGCTATAAAACACTCATATTGAAAAAGCCTCTTTCCTTTAAAATCCTGAAGCCTCAGAAAAGACAAGTCCCTGGGGCAATAACCTATAATCTCTGTCTCATCTATTGCTGGAAAAACAAAGACAACTCTGGCAATGTGTCCAGGCTCTCAATTGATTGAGGAGCCAAACTCTGCAGAAAGCTTCAAGGTGAAAGGAACTCTCTGGCACGTTGCTTCAAGGTGAAGCCTCTTTTCTCTTTTCGGGTTTAAGTACATTAGCCACTGTCAGAAGCAAAGCTGATTCCTGCCAACTTTTTCTATCCAGCTATTTACAGAGAGGTTTAGGCCATGGATTCCCTTCTCAAATATTTGTGAATAAGCAGATTGAATTACCAGCACCTCGTGAGCGATGCAGAACTGCTCCCAGGAAGCAGCAAGAGAGGGACTGTGAGTCTGGCACACGTGGAGCCAAAGAGCTGTGACTTCGTTTGCGCCGTGTCACCGGCCGGGAGACGCACGTCGGGCGGTTCAGTTTGTCAGCAGGGCACTGCAAATCTGCTCCTCCTGGGTCAGGAGCACAAAATTTGCAATTACAGCAAGAAAACACGACGCTGGGTAGCAGGGAATACATCAGGGATGACTTTGACATTTCCAGGAGCAGCGCTGAGGGCCGATGGAACCAGCCCGGAGCAGGCAGCGCTGATGAGCAGCAGTGGGAATATCAGGAATGCTTCCCCAGGAGCCCATGCATGACTTACTGCCAACCCACGGGCACAAAACTTCTAAAACAAACAGAGCAGAGAGCAAAACACCTATTTGTTAACTCAGCACACAGTGTGCACATTTCTCCTTGGCTGTTTGGTTTGGGCAGGATTGGAGCATTTCCATATCCCTGAGACAACACTGCGATGGGACACGAGGGATGAAGTTTTATCATCTCCACCTGATGGATCCTTTGGGATCTGAAAGTACCAGTGAGATGCAGCCAAGTTGTGCAGCTTTTATGACACCTTCCACCAGCCCAGGTTGCTCCAAGCCCCATCCAACCTGGCCTTGAACACTTCCAGGGATGGGGAAACCACAACCACCTTGCTTGACTTCAGAACTCCCTCCCATGGTGTGCTCTGTCACTGGTTCCTCTGTATTTGTGACCCTACAGAAGACCTATTATATTTTCATAAAACAGTTTCAATTGCATTAGAAGCACTCAGTTTAAACCCCTTCAAACAAAAATTCTGACCCAGCAAGTTTTAAACAAACTCTGAAGAATAAAAGCAGTGTATACCTAAATCAAGGCAGAAAGTTGTTTACTCAGTTCCTTTCCATCTTTTAAAAGCACACAAGCAGGTGCTTGACAAAAAGTTTTTTTTAATATATAAAGGCTATTTAAAAAAAAAAAAGTAGAATTAAACTGTAAACACGTTCCTTTCTATCACTGACCACTGGCACAGGCAAGTTTTAAATGACTGCCTCATTACACATATTACACTCTGCATTTTTGTGACTATTTCTAACAAGTTCAACCCATGCCTTAAGAAAAACAGACAATATCTCAATGCAATAAATTAAAATGCAGCTGAATGAATGGTCAGAGAGGGAAACCTCGTGGTTATAATGTTATATATTTCTATTTTTTGAGCAAAATTGTCAGCATCATCTTTGTCTGACTGCAAGCCTAATGGCACGCTGGGTATCTGGGGTTTAAACAGTACCAACTTATTTAGGAGGAGAGAATGATCTCTCCTTTGAAGTGCCACAAAGAGGTAAATCAAAGCCCTTGCTGTACCATGTGCCCTCTGGAGACGTGCCAGGCATCCCAGTGCACAACATCAGGATGCTGGGCAGGCTCCTGGCCCTGGGCAGCAAAACCTCACTCTTGCTGCTACAGCAAGAAAGGGTTTAATCCTGCAAACAGGATCCAGGGCTGTAATCTCCAGGTGGTTCTGTTACATAAATGGATTTAAGGCATTTGCAGTCTGCTGTGGGGACACCGGGCTGGCACCTCAGCTGGTGCAAATCTCCACAGCTGCAGGGAACTCAGAGCAACTACACCAATTCAGGGCAGGTTGGAGGAGCTGCTGTCAATTTTATTATTGTTTTTTTAAAAAATGTTTCCATAGCACTCAGCAGAGCAGGAACAAAAGGCAACCCCACTCTCCAGTGGGTGATTCCTTGCACAGGGAAGCCACTGAGCTCAGGGTACCTCCTTTGACTCTGGTTTCTGGGGTCACTGCTCAACCACCCCAGCACAGGGACTCCCCATCTCTGAAAGTCACCACTTATTCTGCTGGGTCATCCCTGTATAGGGACCAGACCCTCCACACACACACACAGACAGACACCAGATCCTACACAAACCCAATGATAAAATTAACACCACTGACTGTCAAATTGAGGGCAGCTTAAATCAAGTTCTCAGAGTTCAATCAGTAAAGCATCAAAGGAGCAGCCAGGAGTACAATTTGTCCAATCTGCCCACGGATAACATGCATTCCTTTAATTTTTTTTTAAATGTTATGAACTTTCAAGGAACACAGCAGGGAAAAGATATCAGTAATAGCTGTCAAAAATCTGACTTATGACTTCTTACACTGCAATTTAGCACTCTCCAAAACCTGCTCAGATTGATGGCATTTGTGAGTAGAGCCTTTCTTCCCCCTGGTGTAACACCACCAGGTTAAGCCTTCAAACACTCCTTACTCATGTCTAAAGAGCAGCATGATGGGGATGCCCCCGAGACAAGAGTTCATCTCCAAAGGTCAATTTAAACCTCCACTGCCCAGCACAGCTTCGGGAAGAGAAGCTTCTTTTTAAGGTGTTTTTTGTAACAGGAGAGAACTGCTCCTGGAAACACGGTCCTTCAAGCAATATAAGGACATGGAAATGGCCTTAAATTGTGCCAGGGGAGGTTTAGATTGGATATTAGGAAAAGTTTGTTCACTGGAAGGGTGGACAGGCTGCCCAGGGCAGTGGTGGAGTCACGTCCCTTTGTGGATGTGGCACTTGGGGACACGACTTAGTGGTGGGTTTAGGGAGTGGCTGGACTTGATCTTAGAGGTCTTTTCCAACCTTAGCAATGCCAGGATTCTGTGACATCAAAGAGCCTCAATCACCAAACAGCACAGCCTATCCCAAAGGTAAAACTTCCCCTTGCTTTGCCTGTGGAGACTCTTGTGGTCTGACCCAGAGGACGCCGATACTTCAAACACAAACTTCATGCAAAATGTGATGACTTGTGATGCCAACAGCATTTTCCACAAATAGCATGCAAACCAGTCCCTGTGCCAGACAGTACCATGGTCTACACACCTTCCAAGGCCTTCCCACCCCCGTGGTGAGCACGGAGAAGTCGTGTGAGCAGCCAAAGTGCTGCTGCTGCTGAGCAGAACTTTCCAGGAGTTTGTTCTCCCCGTGTGCCTGCACAGAGCTCTGCCTGCATCCTGTCACCCACAGGCACTGAGGACAAACACACAATAATTGCATCTCCAGAGATGAAACAGAGCTCAGTTGCCCCCACGAGGAGGCTCTTGTTTTGCTGTTGACAAAAGGCATTAGGAAAAGCTCTGAGGAAGTGCTGCAGTAAAATGACAACAGGGATAAAAAGCAAACTCAATATCAATGAGGAGAGCGAGTCAACAGTTAAATGGAGAGAGACCACGTGCATTTTCTTAAGAGAAATTCATCTGACTGAGCCCTATTACTTTATAATTAAGCCCCAAATTTATTTTATTCAACACAAAATTAAATAAAATGAAATAAATCAGCCACCATGTAACGTCCACTTATAGCAAACCAGTAGAAGCCCTATAGAAGTCACAGATTAGAACTATGGTGCAAATTAATAAATGTTATTCATTGCTCTGTTTTAGTGCAAATAGCCCAAAATGTCAGGGAGATGGCAAAATAGAGTGAACTTGCATTACTCATCTGAATGCTGTGACCATCTGATTTTGTCAACTGGGAGACAACCAGAGCTGCAGTGGTTTGGTTCTTTCTTTTGGTAAATTGCAAGTCAGAAGTTAAAAGCAAGAAAATTAACAAAAACCATGTAATTTCATTCCAGAGCAGAGAAGGCTTAATGAGTAATGGAAATAATGTGCACTGCTTCAGCAAGTTTTTCATTACAATGGCAAAAAATAATGGCTTTCTCTGTTTGGAAAATTAAGGCTTATACTGGATTGAGAACACGCTACGAAGAACCTCATGGTTTTTTTGTTTTTAGATGCCTCAGTGACAAATAGGAATTTCTCTAAGTAGCTTTTTATCTGGGGCAGAGAGCTTGGGGTTTAACTTCTTCAATAAGTGCACCACCACAATGAGGAATATGCAGAGAAAGAAATTAAACAGAGAATAAGTCTTTATGGATCACTCTGCTGTCTGGGCAGAGGGTTGTTCTGTGAGCAGCAAGAAATCAAAGCCATGGAGGACGTTCCCCTTGACCCATTTGCTGCCCAACCCGTTGTATCTGAGAGCACTTCAACCAAGAAGTCTGGGGGAAAGCTGGTAAAAGCACTGAGGAAGTGGCCAAAACCAGCTCAATGACAGGGAAATAAATAATTTTCTTAAAACTGCCGCCTTTTTAAATATGCAAGAGATGGAAATGATAATGCATAATTAATACCTGTGAGAATATCCATCAAAAATAGTGCTGGGCTTTCTGCTAATGCACATTAGTGGCAGCATTACTGTGCAACAGTTGAGGAGGAAGTGCCCAGCGAGGGGGATGAAGGATGGTTTCTCTCAGGTGGGTTTGACACAGCCGTGGTTTCACAGCACAAGCACATTTGTTACCCTCAGACCTTAAATAGACACATCCTTCATTCTTCAGTCATAATCTGTCTCACACAGTAAAAAGGTCTTTGTCAATGCTGGAAATGCAAAACATCACTCAAAGCTGGTCATGTTTGTGCTGCACCAACATAAAGTACATCCCTCTGCACAGTGGTATGGAATTATGGGAGGGTTTGGATTGGAGGGACCTTCAGGATCATCTTGTTCCACTGCCATGGACAGGGACACCTTCCACTAGCTCAGGGTGCTCCAAGCCCCATCCAGCCTGGCCTTGGACACTTCCAGGGATCCAGGGGCAGCCACAGCTTCTCTGGCCAACCTTAAAAACCTGTTAAAATCAAGTATTAATGTCAACTTTGCTGACACCTCAGCAGGTTTCTGGTCCTTCCAATTAACAACCTCTAATTAAGGATTATTTTCCCTATATGAAGTCAACTACCAATTAATTAGTATATCCTCCAGCAAACATACTTAAAAGCTTGTAAGCTGTTGTTTGGGGGTTTATTTTTGTTGGCAACGCTACAGTTTTAACTTTTTTGTCCTTTGAACTAGGCAGACTTCTCCTTAACTCTTTATTCCATGCAAACCTACCCTTGGCTTCTCCCAAGTAAGCAGAAGCAAACTGGGTTACTGCTGAGCAGCATTGCTTTGTTTACCTCTGGAAAAGCATTAAGAGCATTTTAACACTCCAGAACAAATGTTTACAGTACAATACACACTGTGACCGTGTTTGTCCTGCACGGTAATGCAGCAAATATATCCCTTAAATATTG